CACTTTCATTCCATATTTTGGTTTAGTTTATTACAAACACAGGAAACATTATAAAAATCCACACTGTTTCTGGTGATGAGCTCTTTCTCTACTCCTCTCAAGAGTCAGAGCTGCTGAGTTATGTTTTAATATGCCCATACAAACATCTTTCAGGAAGTTTTGTTTCATCCCCAGTGATTGCTGCTGGTTTGTGTGACATATACAGACTTACTAATTATAATGATTTGCAGTCTTTGGCATCTAGGTATTTTTCCCATTAAAGAGAGTATTGTCTGAGCAGCTTTGAAATGTTTACCTCATGCTCATCAGGGAGTTGGACATTGCTTATTGCTGGCATGTTGCGCAGTGTACCCCCATCAGAGTAGATATGAGGCCTGGAAGAAATGAAGGGAAGAGGGGGAGCTTTGCCCATGGGAGATGAAACTTGGCTGCTGTGGCTTTCCAATAGCAGAGAGAGTATTGCATCCCAAATTCCTTCGGTTCTGTTGCAGTTTAATGAAGGGGCAAAATCCTTTTAGCATTGCCTTAACCTCCTGCTATCCAATACCACAGTGTTACCCAGCCTAGGTTATTTCATGTGCAAGAATATGCAAAGCAGACAGGAGGACCTGTCTGCAGTAAGGCATTTTTCTGGCAAACTTGATACACTGAATATGGATCCATACCCTCACTGCTTCATCACCAACCTGTGATGTTTGGCCCCAAAGCTAAAGTGGCTTTTGCTGCAAATAGCCACACTGACAGCTCCTTGTAAGTAGGGCAGGAGTGGATTAGTGCAGGCATTTAGTGGCAGAGCACTCTGGAGTCTCACCTGCGCAGCCACACGATTGCACTCATGTCCTGCTTTAACACCCTTGAGCATCTTTTATCTTCCAAATTCTAAAGACCTTATTTTTTTCTCTACATACACAGGCAGAAAGCAGCAAAAGCAAGCAGAAATAGGGTGGTGCAGATGGGAGAAAAACAGAGTGGCTTCTTCATCCCTTTCCCCTCTCAGGAGCCTATAGGACATGCCTGCTCCCAAGCAGTAAATTAGAAACGTCTCCACCATTGCCCGCTGCTCTCAGTATCCACAGCTCCTTAGGGAAGGGACAGCACAGCTGGAAACTGGAGAATACGGCATCCAGATGGCCTCTTCTTCAAGGGTTTGTGCATATTCTGGGAAGCACAGAGTCTGGAGTTTGCTTCTCCCACTTGCTGATCAGCAGGACCCTTTTGCTCTGGGAGGAGCATCCCCTGCAAATGCTGCAGCACTCCTGTGCAGAACCTCTGGTACATCTTATACACTCAACCTCATTTTACATATTTGCATTTCAGTAAGCATAATGTAGCATTTTTAAAAAAAAAAATATTTCACCTGCAACTTCTGTAATAACATGTAATTGAAAATCAAGTTACTCTAAATTTCAAAAAACAGAGGGACAAAGGAAAAATGGATTTCATATCTATTCTACTTCATCTAAACTTGTTTGTACAGAAAAAGTACTGGCCACCCATAATACTCATGGGCTTAGCATTCAGATTTGGACAATTTTTGCTACGATTTGTTCCTGAAGTTGCTCAGCTGAAATGCTTAACTGAAATAAGGGTGGGCTGCTTTTTTTCTTCAGCCATTTTAATTCTTTTCCATTTCTGCTGATTACTAAATCTATATTGCTTAGGCATGGAAATTTAAATGGTAATATGTAATTAAGGTGTGCAACCTGACATCCAGTTTCACACTCTCTTTCCCCATCATGCTCTCGTAGTCACCATCAGTCTTCCAGTTAAGAAACTATTTGGACTGCCCTTCAGCTTTCCTCTTCTGAGAGAACCTGAATGAAGTGAATTGTCACAAATCCTGCAAAGCTTGAACTCCCTGCTTGTGTACCTCCAATGCTGAGAGAGACCTGTCTATCACAAAAACAGGCATACAGGTTTTGATGTACTGGCTGGGATCAGTAGTTGTGATGGGTCACGAGATGAGTCACAGCTCTCCATACAGCATAGGGGAGAATCTTTCACATCAGGACTCACACCTTATCTGTCTGATTCACCTAGGCCCGAGTAGGTGGCTGTGCATTGGTGTGGTGTGCATTTCTTCGCAGGCTGTAAGTCAAGGTGTGTGAAGTTACTGCCTTTAGAACAGCTGGAAATCCTTCAGCCTGAAGATAATAAACATAACAATCTCCATGGAGATAGGAAAAGTCCTAAGCTGCTTTACTTAACAAAAAGGAGCATGAAATACCATTAACAATCACTACCAGGGCATTCAGGAACAGCCATAATTTCTGTGGGGTGGTAAGACTATCAAGTGCAATGGCCATTAGGAGACATAAGCACATAACTAAGAGAGATGGTGTTATTTTAGAATTTAGCTTTTTTCCCCACCTCATTGATACTGGTTTTGTATTTCCTAGACTGAGTTTATGTCACTTTACCATAATGCTTGAGATCACGTACATGTTTGACTGGGAGGAAAGACAGAACCAATTGTGTGGGACTGGTAACCTTGTATTTAAGTTGAAAAAGAGGTGTTGAAAAAAGGAACATCACTGGGTGGAGAAGCTACTCCTTCCATTGTGGAGAACAAGAGGAATAAGCATAGCACATTTAAGGAATCCTATTGACTTTGTAGGAATCCTATTGACTTTGTAGCTGGGTAGTATAAAAAAGGACTGCTCTTCTCCATTCCTCGTGGCCAAGGGGAGACCTTCCACCAGCATGACTTAAGCTGTCTTCATGCCTTCACCAATCCTGAAACCAGTCTAGCTCAGCTACCAGTATAGCTCAGCTGTTGCTAACGTTGGCTTGCTGATACTTTCTCATAACTGTGCCTCAAACTGAAAAGCAGTGCATTGTTAGCACTGAATCGTAGTTTTGGAGAATTGATGGCTTTTCAGGCTGGCTGGGTAGCATGACTTCTCTAGGGACTGGCAATGCCAGTCTATCTTTTTAACACCTCAGATTCCAGTTGTTTTGAGAATAAAACAAAATATTATCAGAAAGAAAGTACTCAGAAACTTTAATGAATGTGTTGAGCTTGAAGCTACTCCTAAAAATGAATGAGTGTCCTGGGATACTAATTTTCTTTCTAATTGGATCTCGCTTCTCTTTTAGATCCCTCATGGATAGAGCACAGATTGGTACTGAAGCATAGAAGACACTTTTCTAAATCTGGCTTCTAAATTGAGTAACTTAAATTCCAGACTGGTCAGAAGTTTGATGCGCAGTTCAAGGTGCAGTTGTGTTTCACAGTAGCATTACTACTTCGCACACAACTACAGGTTTTTGCCACATTAATACATGGAGGTCAGCGGTGCACAGGACAACAGAAACCACAAGGAAAAGGAGAGAAAGGTTAAAGGCTGAAGGCTCAAGCTAAAAACAAAAAGTAGTGATTGTCTCTCCAGTTTCCCACAGACATGTTTTTCTCCCTGAAATAAACAGAAGCTTTTTAAAGAGATGTTTATTTAAGCTCTGTAGTGGTTCAAAGGTTTGATTCTTTTGGGTGATGTGTATGTTGTAAAAAGCCCTGCCAGTAACCTGTAAAAGCTCTGCATGTAAAAACCTACTTCCATGCAGGGCTTTCTGAGTTACATCTGACATCTGAGCCACAGTGGTCTAAATTCACGGGGTCTTCTACCTTAGCTGTTAAGGTAGGGGCAGGCAGTTTCCCACCCTGTGCTTTGTGCTGTGTCACATAGCTAAAATTGAGGGTACACAGGGCCTTCCCATATGCGACCTGCTCCTTGGAGGATAGGGTCCAAGACGTGACATCTTGGCACGCCTGTGTCATCTGAATCCTGGTTTAATGAGTACTTTTTAGAGACTTTACAGAAATATTTTTATTTAATTTAAAAATCTGTGTAATGTGTAGCTCTGCCTTGTTCAAAACTGACAGACATCTAAACCAACCAAACAGAGTTTCTAATAGCTGGGAGAGTTGCAGTGGAAGTGCTTATCAGCAGGAGCTGGGTAACCTACATTCCAACAAGAAGAAGTTTTAGATTAAAGCGGTTCTGATAAACAGGGTTTTACTGTGTCTCCTCCAGCTGACTACAAATGTAGTAGGCACTAATGATGACATTAATTATTTAGCATAATTTTTTCTTGATATTCTTCCATTTTCCATTCACTGCCTAGGTTTCCAGATATGTATTTTTAAGTTAGATAATAGCTAAGGAGGATAGAGCACAGAAGCAGTAGGTCCCTTGTAACTTAAAACAGTGTCTTATCTGTTGCATACCTTGGATTTTTGTAATGAACTTGTAATGCTTTGTAGTCAAGCTTTTCAGAGGAATGCTGTTGTCATCTTTCCTCTCTGTAAAAGTCCCTCTGCTCCCGACACTTTAATTGCACAGTTGCCTAAATGAGGCAATGCAGAGTGTTAATGTACGAGTCTCAGCAACAACACACTCCTCTTTTCACCGAGCTTTTGCCCTTGATCGTGAATTTAGCAGAGCACGTACCTTAAAAATAACTAGAGATTCAAGGGGAATCACTACACTTAGCCTCTTGCATTAGGTTTGTGGAAACAGGGATCCTTCCGTAGTAACTCATACTCTTTCCCTGGGAATAATAAGCACTGCAATTAGTGAACTAGTTAATAAGTGTTTGGTTAGGGAGGACAGCAGCAGCATTCCTCTGTCTCTGGAAGCAGAGTGTTCAGTGTCCACACGGTCTAAAGCGAAAAGAGGGGGGAAAAAAAAAAAAAAAAAAAAAAAAAAAACAGAAAAAAGAAAAGGCTTGAAATCCTGCCTGCAGCTTCCCTTCTTGCAAGCTGCCCCTCTGGCTTCTCGCAGACGAGGCGGCAGGATGTTTTTATTCCCTCCGGGGCCATTCTCCCTCGCTCTCTCCCGGGAGCCGAGCAGAGCCGGCAGCCCAGGGGGAGCGGAGTTTGGGGGCGAGGGCTGGCGGAGCTGATGTCAGCGCAGGGCGGCGGGAGCCATTGGGCTGCGGGAGACTTTGCAGCAGCAAATCCGCCCCCCTCGCCCCCCCTCCACCCCCGCACCGTTGGCTTCAAAGCGGCCGGTGCCCGGCAACTCGCAGAGGTGCAAAAAGTGGGTGCGGGGCCGGCAGAGCCGCCCCCGGGCATCGCCCCGGCCGGGCCCGGCACGTCGGGGCGGAGGCGCGACCGCTCGCCGCCACGCTGGGCAGCGCCGAGCCGCCAGCCCTACCCACCGCGCTATAAAAGCCGCCTCCAGAAAGAGGAGAAACTCCGCGGGAGGAAAACATCTCGACGCGGTGCTGTTTCGCTGAAGTACGGGCATGACATCCGTCCTGGGCAGCAGCAGGGCGTCGGGAGGGCCGAGCGGGCAGCTGAAATGCAAGTCCAAGAGAAGGAGGAGGAGGAGATCAAAGAGGAAAGGTAAGATAAATTTAATTTTTTTTTTTTTTTTTTTTTTAGTCCCCCTCTCTCTCTGCCTGTCTCCCGCACACACGCCCCGGCAGACACCTCGGCTGCTCCTGTTTTTATTGTCTGTGCATGGCGCACGCCGGCACCGGCCCTGCCGCTGCCCCGACGGGCGGTGCGGGGCGGGCGGTGCTTTCCCCGCCGCGCCGCTCTGCCCCCCGCGGGGCCCGCCCGGGGCCGCCGCTCTCCCCCCGCGGCCGGGGAGCCTTTGCTCTGCTCTGCTCTCCTCCTCTCTTTGTTTTGGGCCGAGGCTGAACGCCGCGGGGGTGCCGGCGGGCGGGGGCTCGGCGGGCCCCGTCCGAGGCAGCGCGGTGCGGCGGAGCTGTCCCGGGGGCTGCTGCCAGCCCGGCCCCGCTGCCCCCCGCTGCCCGCGGGCAGGACGCGGCCCCGGCGGGGCGGAGCGCGCTGCGGAGCCTCCCGGGGCAGCACGCAGCTCCCGGCCGGCGGGCTGCGCCCCACAAACTGCCTCTTTTTCTTTTTTTCTCCTTTTTTTTTTTTTCTTTTTTTTTAAGGGCCACCGAGTTTTGCTCTTTTGGTGCCGTTCCCCTTCCCTAAGCAAACCTCTGTTAGGAAGGCGCTAATTGCCTTAAGCATGAAAAGTGAAGCTACAGGATGTCATTGCGAACAGGGAATATGCCCTACATAAAAGCTCTTCTCAAGGCTGTCCTGTTTTCCCCTGTAGAGGGGATGACACACTACTGCCTGGTTTTTGAGGTTTTGCCTGAAAAAGCTGAAGTTAACAGACTGTGAATACTTTAAAGTAAAATGAACTGATACGGGAAGCAGAGTGCCAGAGATGCCCAGCTGCAACGCATTTGATTGCAGAGATGCTAACTCCAGGTGTTTATCTAAGCAGTAATCATCTAACCTGTAATTGACGTCGTTATGAGGGACTAACACAAGTTTTAGTCAGCTAGCTTGTCAGCTCAAGCTGATGCTCTGTTATTTCTTCTTCTGATTCTAGAGAACCCAATTTGTAGGTGCCATTAGCTAAGTGTCTTTTAATTATCGATTACGTTAAAGCTAGGAGGCACGGCATTTGATAACTTTTTAGAAAGGTGTCAAAGCAGACTTTGTATAGTAAGTAGTAAAAACCGGTCAGATGTTAAATGCTAGACTGTATCATTTCATTGTCACTGTTTCAACTTTCATGTTTGAACTCTCTACACTCAGAATCGTAGTAACAAATAGTGACCTGCGCACAAGTAAAAACAACAGACGTGCAGATACATCGGGACTTCAGTAGGTGTGTAACCCGGAGTTGTCACTCCGGATCTGTATCGTGCTGTAACATCTGGTAACAAAGGCTGTGTTACACGTTTCATTACAGAATATATTTTAAAATACTAAGCAAAGGGAAAGCTCCCACACTCAGTCTCTTTCACTCTGTACTTAAGTTGTGCTCTGCAGACTTCTTTATGCTGTTTTTGTTCTAGCAAAACTACTTTTCTAGGGAATTACAAACTTAGCCTAGCTTTAGCTACCCTGTGCTTGGCCAAGATAAGACTAATACATTAATCTATGCAATGGAGAAAAGATGCTTTGTTATAAAGGTAAATTATAAGTATTCATTTTCTTTTGAATAAGCAGACAGAAGTGAAGGTATTTCAGTAAGACTTTTCTGGTGCATCCATTGTTGCTCTATGTTTTGCCAAAATAAGGTAGAAGTTGAATATCTTAAAAGACCACAATAACTTGCTAAACAACTTGGTAGATGACAGCAATTTGCTGAATACACAGCTGGAGGTTGAAGGCATTCTAGAAAGTGCTTGGCTGACCAATATCAGTAACAACTGCACTTTAAGAGTTTTGTGGTTTTTTTTTTTATTTATTCCTCCAAATGTGTTATTGTAACCACTTTCCAAATGATGTAGTTGGTTAGTATTCTAATTATAGGGAACAAAGCTTGTGTTCATATGATTTTGATTTTCTTTTCTATATCATCACAGTATATATTCATAAAAATACACATTCCTCTAAATATATACTAGCAAAAAATGCCTGTAACTTAAGGCATGCCCAGTATAAAACCTGTTGGACTTTACTATTATTCTAGTTTATTTACTTCCTGTATATTTATGTGGAATTTTTGATGGTATCTAATGCAAAGGTGTTGTTTAACAAACTGGCTATCCTGGAAACTAGTGAAGAAAATGTGTATTAGGCTCATAAATGACTGCATCTTTGTGAGAATTAATGGGGGCTTCACTATTTTGCAGGTTTGATCTGTTTAACAGATTGTGAAAAATCTTTGTAGAGAGTTACACCAAAGACACTTGCCTTTAACTGTTCTCCAGCACATATTTTGTTCTCTATAGCAAAAATATTTTTAGTACAGGCTTTGAAGTGTGTAACTATGCACATATGTTTACGCATACGCACACAGAGATACCTATAGGCACGTGCAGACAAAGAAATTCACTCTAGTCTTAAATTTAAGTATTAATCACAGTAAGGAAAATAAATCATCTGTCACATCCCCATCCCGTAAGGAGATGGACTCAACAAATTTTATATACAACTTAATATATTTTATTATATGTTACATATGAACTGTGCTTAAAACCAGGCTGAGAAATTGTCTGATAGAATATCTAGGAATGTGTACTAGTAAAAGTAAACATTATTGTCTAATAGCATTGGTTTTCCCCCTCTGATTTCCTTTCCATGTTTTCAGTCATATTTTTGTCCTGGTTAGTGTGAATTATAAATTAGTGTGTCTGGTGGATATAACACTTTGCTCCATTTCTTTTATACCTGGATGCTCTGTTTTGGGAGTTTCCTGGGGGCAGAAAGCAAGTTCAAGCAAGGAAAGCAAACAACGTTCTCTGAATAGCTAAATTTCCCTGTGTATTTAGGCTAAAAAACAATAAACGTGCTGAAAGAGACAGAATTTCCATATATGCAAATCACTGAAAAGTGTAGGACACTGAGTGCGATTCCAGTGTACAATGGCATTGTCCAGTAATTAATTTGCATGCTTCTTGTTTTTATGCTTATGAAATCCAGCAACCCTTTCAGTATAAAGATCCTACCTTGAAGACTTAACATTTAATGTCTATGCAATGAATATCACATCACAAGCATACATTTGTGCAGAGATTTCATTCAGTTCTACACTACGTGCAAAAAGTGTATTAAAAAGATAAAATGTAGCTATGCATAGCCATTTCTTAAATTAGTATATGTAGGAATATTTTCATTGTCATTTAGAAAATAAGTATGTTAAATCCCAGTGGCAAGAAAATATTTTAATTTCTCAAAGACCTAAGGAAAAATACAGATGCTTGCCAGATTATCTGCGTACTAATTTTGTGTAAAAGTAGTAATAGGTATTTTTTTCTCTCTCCCTGTTTGCTTGTTTTGGGTTTTTTTTAATCTATGTGTGTACAAGGACCAGTGGTTAGAAAACTATGCCTAATGATTTAGAGAAATACAGTTTAAATTTTTAAGGCTTTATAGGAAGCTGCTGGATTTGTGGGTTCTTGTGTTTTCTTCAGGGCTCTGGAATATGGCAGAGAACTAGCAGAATTCAGCACAGTGACCTCAGCATGGTTTGTGCAGATTTCATAGCCTGTGGTATAGATTTTGAAAAGGCGGCTTGTTTTCTGAGATAAATGATTACAAGTAGACCAAACAAAAGCAGAATTGCCGTTTGCTGATAATACTAAAAAGGCCACACTTCAGTAGCCTCTGGCAACTTCTTAGAAATCAACATATAGAAAGTAAGCATGAAATGGGTGATTAGAGATATGCCTCTTCTTTTTTCTAGTATAACACAACAAATAAGCTACCTTGCTTGTAATTCTGTTTTATAGAGCTAGTGATTAAAGTTAATTACTGGAAACAGGAGGGAATCGGGTATCCCTGAAAGCCATGGTTAAGGTTGCTGCTGATACAATGGGACGCAAAATAAAAGTTGACAGAATAAACTAGAAAGGGGCAGCAAGTGAGTGAGAGAAGCATAGTGATTGTGAAATGAAATTCCATGAAAAATTAATGAAATAGAAAGATTGTGCTGAGGACAGAGGGAGGAAACCAGCTTGGTTCTTCATCATCCTGCAATGCCAAAGTAATAAATGAGCATGTTTCATCTTGGCGAGGTTCAGGGACAAAACTCCTTCCCCACAACAGAATTGCGTCGTGCTTCAAGATGTGTTCCGCTTATCTCTCCCCCTGACGGCTCAAGAGGAAGGGACTGGATTTGGTGATAAAATTAAATTGATTAAACCTTTATCCATCATCTAATTTGGTACCTTTATTTTTTCTTTTCTTTTTTACTATTACCTCCAATTTCTAGTGATCCGTGTAATGACAGCAATTTGAGATAGCATCAAGGACATTAGCTACAATGACTGAACTTAAATTTAGAATAAAAATATGGGATTCATGAGTCCATATCTAAATAGCAGACGATTAGGTTATAGCAGAGTTGTATCTTCCTAGCAACAGCACGTAAGTGTGAGGACAATAAAATGGCGCATTTTACTTTGAGATAAAACAAAATATTTCAACTTTGCTTCAAAGTATTAATTATGTAAGTAGAAAAAGGACTAATATAAATATTGACCATATCTGGCATGAACAATGACATATATAGCTATTTTTACCTTTTTGAACACAGAAATTGTCAGATGTTTCGCTTTCTTCAGTGGTGATGCAAAGGCATAGAAAAGCTAGTGGCAAAGTATCATACTGCTGGAAATTGTTTCATATAGCTTAAAATTTTGTTGCTTCTCCGTGGTGATTTGGGTAGCGAAATTCTCCAGTAAGGTGAGAGCATTGCTTACAAATTCTAGTTTAAATGATATTAATGGAGTTTATAAAATACTTAACGGCAGCCCTTTCTGAAATGATACCCTACAAATGGAAAACACTGCACTAAAAATTAAAGGTCAGATGAAATTGCCTTGTGAAATATCAAAGCTACTAAAGGTCTGTGCAAACTGTTTTCT